TTATTACCACACCGAAACTAACAAGCTTCCCGTGCATTGATTTTACCGAGAATAACATATTCCGAGCATATGACATTAAATACATATATACATAAATATAGAGAGGACAAGTTTTAGAGGGAGCCTAACCGATACAAAAAATGAATGTAACAAAAACAAAAATAACGTTTTGCATTATTAATAAAGAAATATCTATGTTCGACATCATTCAACGTACCACCTGCGACTTGTCTGAGTTCTGGTCTGGACACAACCACATCCCTCATCCCTAGGTGACTGCTTGAACGCTTTAGTTGACCTCGGTTTTGGTTTCGATTCCCTCCCCTTTTGGTTGTGTAATCTCTTGATTCCCCCCGTGCTTAATTTGATTCCGTTTTAATTTAATTTGTTTCATTTCATTTCTATTCCCAACCACGACACAACATGACGCACCCACACACAGCTTCACAACATTCCAAGCACCACCACGCCCCTGCCCTCGTTATCACCAGCGCCCCCGGTTCCCAGCGCGATTCCATTCTCCTCTGGAGCGTCGCTGCTTGACAGCTTCTCGCTATTTGACGATCCCGTTCAGAGGCGCAGCCAGGCTGCCAGCACGCCACACCCACATCCAGCAGCCACCCTCCATCCATTACTCCCGTCATCGTCATCCACGGCAGCTGTCTCAGCCGCAGCTGCGACCTCGGTATTAGCATCCGTATCAGCCTTAGGGGCAACGGCGGGATTGGGTGCCGTAACGCCAGGTAGCACCACTACCACCGCCTCCAGCTCAAATAACCAGCATTTGTCGCGTTCCAATACTCCGCTGCAGAGCTCGGCTCTGAGCCAAAGTCAGAGCAGGACGGGATCAGCCCTGGGAATGGGATCGAGCGTGTTCGATGCTTTTGGAGCGGAATAGTAGCAGCAGCAGCCAGCAGGCGGCCACTCCAGCCTCATCACTGGACCCACCGATTTTAAAGATGATCCGTTTAAGGACTACCGTTACGAGGATCCCTTTAGCATCAAAGATCCCTTTGCAGACGATGATGAGGGGGATTTAGAAGGCCTAGGCAAGGGAACAAGTCAGAAGAAGAGCTTTGCGGAGGACTTTAGTTCGGAGGGTGAGTATAAACTCTTTTAATTTTCGAATACAACCCTCTAAAATGACCATCAAACCCGCAGATGAGGTGGGATCCGCAACCAAGACGCTGAGTAATATAATGAACAACAATAACAACAGTAAACCCAAGGCCCACACGCCCCTTAACAACGATCTGCTGCAGCAGTTTGACGCCTTCAATCTGAACTCGAGTCCAGCGCCCTCGCACCACTCGACCACATCTTCGCATCACTCCAGCACTAAGCCCCATAACCAGAAGTCCCAAACAGCGCTGGACGCATTCGCTGATTTCGATGACTTTGCAGCAACGGCAGGAACAGGAACGGGAATAGGAATAGGAAAAGGGGCTGGAACTGGAAAGAGCATAACCACTAGCAATACGAAACTCAACGATTCCTTCTTCGATGCATTTAATGACAACTTTGGTGTAAATCAGAATCCAACAGTGGCATCCATGGGAACAATCACCAAGCCCAGCGATCAAAAGGCTGCCTTCAATGACAACTTCGATGATAACTTTAAGGTAGGCAACTCCTCCAGCCAGCTGGACAATCATAACTTTGCCAAATTCGATGCCTTCGAGGCGCACAACTTCTCGAATGACTTTGGCAACAGCTCCTTTGGCAGCAGCGCCAAAGAGAGACAGAACGGGCACAGCAAAGCCAAGAAGGAGCCGAGCAAGGACAAGTTCGAGGCGGACTACTCCAAGCCGGAGAGCTTCGATGCCGATCTGGAGGAGGCGCTCAAGCGCAGCATGGTGGATAACTAGAGTGTGCTCTGGAATAATAATGTGATGGATGGATCAATCCACCTGGAAATCTCCAATGACACATGCAATGTTCAGTCTCTCTCTCTATTCGACCCCGATCTATAGTGTTTAGTGCTTCTTTGTTCTCGCATCGATCAAAACTTATGGATAATCCAATACGATTACTTTTACTATGTACTCCTTTCTTCGTGCTCAAGGATCCCGGCGAATAGAGAGTTCCAACGGAGCCACTGCTACAATCTATATACAGATATATATATATATATACTCGTAGAGCCTAATGCATATTACGATTTAACCTGTACCAAAACCCTATGAATAATAAACGAATGAAATAATAACATCATCTTAGCGAGAGGGTTACCTAAAGAGAGAGAAAGAGCTCCCCTTCTCATCCATGGTGCACTTAAGCAAGGTGGCAAGAACTGCTCCCTTTTGAGCGCGGTATTCGTGTATTGTCTCCAACACAGCTGATGGGAGCCACCTTGCTTAGCTGTATCATGCTCTCTCACCCACACCAAGCCGCTCTGTACATGTGTGCGTGGGGCCAATCGCAAACTAAAGCAAATGTCGCAGTTCTCGGTTTCATTTCTGTTCGTGAGTTTGCTGCGAGTGGTCATAGAAAACTGTGAGTTCGGTGGGAGTGAGCCAACCTGCTAGCTTTAAGTGTAATTGTGTGCGATTCTCCAGGGGATGCGCGAACTCAGCCAGCCCCTCCGACTATTAGAAAAAACCCACACACAGGCGCACAAATTGCTGCATTGGCACTATAAAAACAATTTGCCGGCGAGTGTAAACACACACACACACAGGCACGCATGCCCCGTGAGAGAGGCGCGATCCAGATGATTGTGTGTGTGCCGCTAATTACATTTATTTTGTAAACTTAATTTCCAAGATGTGTGGCCTGTGAGGGGACGAAGGGGACGGCGGAACAATAACATGGGCGGTTCGGAAAGGGGGCTGTGCAGACCCTCCCCCTTTGCTGTTTCTTTGCCCTGCGGTGTTTGCCATGTATTAAGTGGCCTCCTTCCTGATGCAGCCCAGTTATCGTGCCATAGATCCGTGGGTTATCTGATATTTTTTTTGTGGGTGCAGTGTCGGTGTCCGCGTTGGTGTGCCTTGGTGGTATGTGTAGTCTGGTGCAGGGTGTGTGAGTGCGGTTAGTGGGCCGGGATCGGATCGAATCGCTCTGTTGACACACCGTTTGCGGCAAGGTAGCTCTAGGAGTTACTGGAATCAAAAAGCTCACTTTCATCTGCCAGAAACCTTAGTACGCTAATACTTCACTTAAACACTTAGTCGGGGAGATCTTCACGATATTAATTGTATCTTATATCTTTGGAGATGCTTATATTATATCTTTAAATTCTTATCATGAAATTGCTCAACTCTGCAGCTTAGTTTAGTTTTCTTAAAAGATTAATCCAGCCTCGAATATCGTGTAAAAAGAAAGCCAAAGATTAAATCTAAAATTGTCATAGGTCAGAAATGGTGAAATAGGTAAAACATAATCGTATGCTTGTCTTTAAACTGTTTATCCATGAATATTTGTTTATAATTAAACTTTGACCTCAGCTACCTTGGATATATACTCAAACTACAGTTACAGTTGGTCAAATCCATGGTCAAAAACCTCAGAGAAAACCTCATTATATCGCCAACCTAATAATTAACTAATTACAATTTAACATTACTATCTTACATAATTTGATCCTCCAGATACCGTGATTCATCCACCATGTCGAAGCCAGCTTTGTATTACGCCACCCTCAGTCCCCCATCCCGTGCCGTTCTGCTCACGGCCAAGGCGATCGGGCTCGACCTTGAACTGAGGTAGGTTCCCACACTAACATCCCAATCCAAAACGTTTAACTTAACTCAATTAACAACTGTCTCCCCACGTACCCAGGCCAATTAACCTGCTGAAGGTGAGCATCTGACGCCGGAATTCCTCAAGCTGAACCCCCAGCACACAATCCCGACGCTGATCGATGGCGAGGCCACGATCATTGATTCGCACGCCATCTGCTCCTACCTGGTGGAGAAGTATGGCAAGGAGCAGCAGCAGCTCTACCCAAGGATTTGGTGCAGCGCGCCAATGTGGATGCCCGTCTTCATCTGGACTCCGGCCACCTGTTCGCCCGCCTGCGCTTCCTGTACGAGCCGATTCTATACAATGGATCCACCGATTGCTCGATTGACAAGATTGCCTACGTCCAAAAGTGCTGGGAAATCCTGGAGGGTTTCCTCAAGGACCAGCCGTACCTGTGCGGCAGCGAGCTGACTATCGCAGACTTCTGCGCCGTGGCTACCGTAACATCGGTAAACGAAGTAGCTATCATTGACGAGTTCAAGTTCCCCAAGCTGAATGCCTGGCTGAAGCGTCTCGCCGAACTGCCGTACTACCAGGAGGTGAACGGTGAGGGCGCCGACGAGCTGAAGGCCATCTTCAAGGCCAAGCTGGCGGAAAATCGCGGCAAGTGAGCAGAGCAGCAGTATCTCTTAACCTTATCCACACACACGCACACTATATATTATCCACAAATAAAGAGCTCTAGTTCAAAGTACGATTATAGGCGGTTATAGCGACTTTGATCGATCTTTTATTATGTGAACTTAACTTACATATAGCAACAATATACTTAGAGGTAATGGAAACGGAAATCGCCTTCAGTGGGGACCAGGACCGAAACGCTAAAAGGCAGGGCAGCCGGAGAGGATCCCTCTCCGACCTCCAGCTGGAGCTGGACACATACAAAAACGACGGTGGCGAGGGTTATGTTTTATAACATAGGTTCGTCGGAGTACATGTATTGGTGTGCATTATTCGATCCCAAAAAATACAATAATTGTCTACAAAAAAGTACAAGATATAAGCGCCTCCTAAAAGGGATCAGGGGTCAATGAACGGGCACTTCAGTGGCGCTGCAGGCGTATCAAATATATATATATATGTATATATGTGGGTAAACAGGCTATCACGACCCAGGCTCATGCACACGCTCCCTCACACACGCATCTCTCATTCATACTTGCACACAGCGCGCTCATAGTCCGGATTCTAATCGCGGCGCAACAGGAATCTCTTGATGCTCTCCGGCAACGGCAGCTTGGTGATAGTGTTTGCCGTAAAGTGCTCTAGGATGACGTTGCGGCAGGCGGTCTGCAAGGACAAAACTGTCGGAGAGAAACGAATGCGTTTAAGAGGGAGAAAGTTAAATCAAATCTGTTCTACTTACTGCCCTCCAGCTGGATGATTCTGATCTGTTTGGTGGTGCCGTAAACGTCAATGACGACGAACAGGGGCGACCTGTTGAGCGGAATGTCTCGAGAGACGGGGCCATGATCGACCCCGTTTATGATAAAGTGCAGCTCCCCCTTGGAGGCACTCTGCACCGTGGGCACGTAGATGATCCCGATGCGGGAGCCCCTGTCCGTGAGCAGAATGTCCGAGTCGTTGCCATTGCCCATCGAGGGGCGTAGCAGTCTCTTTGGTAGCAGGCCGCGTGGCGTTCGCACATGCGTAGCATCACCCAAAAGGTTTCCTAGGAAAAGCCAGAATTTAGTAAATAACGGGATTCCCTGCAAATTAAAGTGCTATCTTACTGTGTGGCTGGTCGCCCGTCTCCGGCTCAATTATGTCGTTCGGCTCCTGGCGCTGGTTCATTTCGAACTTGGAGATCGGGTAGATCCAGCTGTTGCCCAGATTGGCCAAATCGGGGAGCGCAAAGTGGGGCAGGCCCTCGCTGCTCGTGCGGATCACATTCGGGGTGAGTTCGGTGAGGCCCAGGCGCATGTGCCCGGACCAGCCGCGCTCGATCTTCTCGATCTCCACCAGGAAGATGTCGCCCGGCGCCAGCGGGCGCTCTGAGAACGTCAACGCATCGGCGAAGCTGGCCCGGCGGTAGGCGACGGTAGCATCGTCGCCCAGCTGTATATTGGAGCCATGGTACGGATGGAAGCGGCTTAGCTGGCGCTTGCGGCTGCTCAGAGTGGCACCACCGTTCCACAGCCCAGAGGGTCAATATCCCCATCCGAATCGTCCTCCTGTTCAGCGTCGGCGACAGCGTCTGGTGCTGGTATGCGTTTGGCCGCCGCCGCCTGGTCACTGTCCTCGACGGCTTCCATGGGCCTGGTGCTCGGTGCTCCGTTTGGACTTGATGGCTTCCGCCCGCACGTTGCTTATTTACCGTTTTCGCGTATTTTTATTTGTTTGTCGACTTTTGTTGTTCTTGACCAGGGTTGGTAAACGGTGCAGGACACAAGAGTGTTGGCAAAAGTCGCGACAAGCGCGACGGCTAGTTCTGTGTTGGTAACCGGTCGTGATGTAACACCGCAACAGCTGTTTGGTCCGACTTGGTCTGAATATTGCGAGGCGAGAGATGTGAGTGAAACAAAACCAAAATGTGACTTAAAACCGAAACTAAAGTGATCGTTTTGGTTTCCAGATGCGAGTTCCCAGTGCCTTGTTTGCCGCCCGTGGCCGAGCCCCACAGAACGAGGCCGATGTGCCCTTCCAGGAGATTCTGCCGCTGCGGCTGAAGAACACGGTTAGCGGGAAGGCGGACTCCGGCAACGATGTGGCCTGCCTGCAGGAGATGGGCGTGCTCTTCGCCTGTCTGAAGGACAACGAGTTCGTGGAGAAGTACTGCCACAAGGAGATCAGCCAGTTCCAAAACTGTTTCAAGTGCTATATGGACCGCAAGTTTGAGGCCAAAAAGACGGTCAACCAGGGCGTTGTGCAACCGGGAAACAACCTCAACTACAAGCAGCTGAACAAGTATATGCGCCGCTATCCCAATCCCCTCTAGCTCATAGCCTACTTGAGTCCGTTGAGTCGTTTATTAATACACTAAATATTTACAAAAACCCCTCTGTGAAATCGTCTCTTTTGCCGTATTCTCCCCCTCAGTAGACCACATCGGCGTCGCCTAGACCCGCCGAGGATTGGCTCACAGGCGAAGGCGGGCTCAGCACAAAATTGGAGGACATGGCACGCAAGAACTGCGGATGGGCGTGCGAGTGCGAATGCTGCTGCGGCTCATACAGGTCGGACAGGAGCGGCGGCTTTTCGCGTACGCGACTCAGAAGATCGGACATCTGGCGGGGCTTGGACACGGCGGGCGTCGGCAGGGCCAGGTTGATGTGCAGCGGGTAGCCGCCATGCTCCCAAGTATCGGCCAGAATCTGTAGGCTGCGGTTCGCTTCCAAGACGCGGGCACGCTGGAAGTTGAGCCGCTCCTGCTGCAGCTCTGACCATTGTTCCTGCAAAGTTAACAAGGAGTTTGTCTACGGATTCTGATTTAGTCAAGGTAAGTGTAACTTACGTATCTGGTTCCCAGGCGACCGAAATACTTGATCTGCTCCTGAACGTTGAGTACCTGCTGCATGTACCAGTCCCGTGCCTTCTCTACTCCATCAAGACCGAAGAGCAGCAGCTCCCGTTGCTCCTCCAGCTGCTTCATCCGCTTCAGCATGTTGTAGTCGATGCCGTGCTGAAGGGTGTGCCTTCGCGACTCCCGCCGTTTGCTGCTCGACTTTTTGGGCAAAACGGGCAGAGCTGATAGGCTCCAATCGGTGGCCGAGGCGGAGGTGGACGAGGAGCCACCATCCGCTGAGCCTCGATGTTCGAACTGTTCCCTCGACTGCGGCAACTTCGGGATCTTACCCGCATCCGCCATCAAGTTGAGCTGCCAGTTCTGCAGGGCATGGCGTATGTCAGCTTTACCCAAAGCTGGTGGCGATGTTGTGGGCACCTGTCGCGGTGGCTTGGGTGGCGGTGCCGGCGAACTGTAATCCATCTCTGACGAAAGATTCCCCTGGGAACGGGGACGCATCTTTACCTCACCCAAAGCCTGCTGCTGATTGCGAAGTAGACACAGCTTCAGTCCGGCACAAAATCGCTCGAAGGAGAGCAGTCCGCTGGTGGGAGTAACGCGACGCAGTGAATCCAGGACGCCACGTGGTAATCCCTTGGAACCATCGTCCTGCCAGCCTTTCTCGATGTCCGTGTAGCGCACATAGCCGCTCTGCTTGTCGTCGAGGATGTCAAATAGCTTCTTCATGGAGAGCACAAACTGCTTGGGCAGGGCGTCCATGTCTAGTGATTGCGGCTGAGGCTGAGCCGCCAGGCTGGGATTGCCTCCTCCTCCACCTCCAACACCATCGCTGAGGCTGAGGTTGAGCAGACTGGTACTGGTGATGTTCTGGCGGAGCATCTTGATCTGCACAATGGAAAGTGGAGTTGGGATTATGGATGTTTGTCCCACGCTTGGTCCCAATGCATAATTGAATATTCATGGGAGCTCATTTGAATGGCAGAGTCCAAAATGGAATGTGTGTGAATTTGGCACGCTTGGTTTTAAGATGAGACATCTTGGGAGAATCGAGAAGATGTGACAAAACGAAAGACTTAGGCCACAAACTTGGATTGAGCCTGGACTTATTTTCGACTTGGAATTTTTATTGAATTTACTTATTATCAGGTTTTGTTTTTAATCAATATTTGGTTTTATCTAATCGCTTGAATTCTTTTAACCCAGAAAAGAGTATTTATTCGCCTTAGAAATGTAGAGGAAGACTACAAGGCTCTAATAATTGATTTAATTATTATTTTAAGCTTTAATTACAACCTTTTTGTTTTTTCTATATCTTAATCTAACATTACTCTAGATTTACCTATTCATGCAAGACAAAAACCCCAATTTCTAAAGATTTAAAATAGAACCTGCATCTTAGCATTTATTATTCATGTTTTGTTTATAAACAAAACTTAATCCCATTGAATTTGTTGACTTACCCAAGCTATGCGGAAATATTACAACAACTCCTGAAATCCAAATCGAATCCAGTTCTTCCGAGCGGTTCTTTTGAGGCCGTTCGTCAAGGCTTCTGCGCCAGCTTTGCACCTATTTTGATGGCCTGTGCCGATGCCATCCAATCCACTCCAATCCGCTGTGTATGTAATGCAGCTTGGCTCGGTTCCCCCGACACACGAAACACCCAAACCCAACCAACTGGTTATATTGACTGCACACTAGAGCCGCCGCTCGTGTCTTAAGACTCTCCAGTCTCGGGTCTCGCACGCATGCGCAACTTGCGCGACTGGTTTCTGTGGCTTTTTCGGTGGATCTTTCAGCGCGCAACCCACACACAGATACACACGAGGAGAGGTACGGACTGCCAGGAGGAGGCTCGTACCCATACTCTGGCCTAGCCCAAATCCCAGCGAGAGAGTAGAAGAAAAAAAAAAAAGAAGAGAGCATCGGTTGCCCGATTTTAGGGAGAAGTATTATATTTATTAGTAGAAATTGCGCTTGGCTTAATCAGTCGAAAGAGGGAGCTAATTGCCTAGGTTAATAATATATCTGGTAGATGTATCTGTGTTGCAGGAACTGCAAACTCTACGCGATCCGAGTTTCATCTCAAGAGGATCACTAGAATGAGCATTTCATCTCAATAGTTTTATGTATGTTACTAGGTGCTAGGATTTAAGCTTATGCTAAGGATTCCGCTGATGCAGTTCGAGTAAAGCCTCACAAATCGGCCACCGACTTCCGGCGAACGTACTTGGCAAAGTAATCCGGACGCCAGCACTTGCAGGAGCCGGGAATAAGGAACCAGTCGTAGTACAGACGCACCTGGAAGCAGCCAAGCTCATCGTTACCATCGCAGTGGGCATCCGCGGCAGCCGATGAGCCGGAGCCGCCCGAGGAGGTGCCATCGGAGGCGGTGGCCACGCCGGCTCGCTTCTGCAGATACTGCTGGTAGGCCTGGAAGTCCTGCACCGAGGGTGTCTGCGTAGTGGTCGAACTGATGGGCACTGTGTCCTCGGCATTCGGATAGAAGATCTCGGCCACAAGCAGGCTCACCCAGCGCGGCGACGACAGACAGCCGCCGTCCAAGTAGTGACAGCGTGCCTGGATGCAGCGCGTCACCTCCACCGTCTGGGTAAAGTAGCCCTCGTAGGGAATCTGCACCACATAACGCCAGGCTCCCTGATAGTTCTTGGCAAAGACAGGCGTGGCATACTCCACCTTGGCGGGACAGGGAGTGGGCGGACCCTCGTAACGAATGGGACCCACTTCCTCGCGACGCTCCGCTGTGGGCGTGGCTTGGGCAGAGCCACCGGTGTCTCCTTGGATGGCCCTATACAGAGTGCAGAATCTGTCGGAGATATATAAAGATTATTGATCTGAGGTGAAAGAATTTCGAGGAATGCCGGTTTCCAGCATTTTTAAAATTTTTAATTGGCAAAAAGATATTCATATTCATGTGGAATTCTTTGGAAAGTGAAATGGTAACCTAGTTTTCTTTCTTGCTGAGTTGTGAATTCTTTGTTTTGGAAGTTTTCTGACCATGATTAATGATTAATAGCTGACCTCCTTAAAAAGTCCTTTCTAGCACTTAATTAAGAACCCGAAATATAATTTATACCAAGGCTAATATCCGCATAAAAACCTTACAAGTTCTACTATCCCCTTTGATGATATATATTTATAATCCGAAGTCTCAACTTACACTCCACCGCCATCGCAGAACTTTCGTGGCTTCCGCTCCTCGGCGGCTCGCCGCTGCTGTTGCTCCCGCTGATGATGCTGGTGCTGTTCCTCCTCGTCCAAAGCTGGATCAAAGTAGCTGTACTCGTTCGTCTCTATGCCCTCCGGCTGACTGCGACGAATCCTCGTGGATCCTCCGGCCGGATACGGCCTATCGATATTGTTGCTATCCAGCTGCTCCACGGGCTCATCGCGAATGATCTGCGTGACCTTGGGCAGGGTGTCATCGGCCTTGAGAACAGGCAAAGTCTTTGAAAGGAACTTCAGCGTCTGATTACGAATAAGTTCACTGTAGAAGGATGTATTTGAGATAAACGATTACCCTTGGAGAAGCCACAAGCACTTACAAGGGATAGGGTTCGTTGAGCACATTCTGACCCAGCGGATTCTTGGGAATCTGGCCCTTGTTCAAATCCCCGCAGATGTTGTGCACGGACACCGCCGACTTCTTGCCGGCGGCCACATCCTTGCAGTCGGCATTCACATAGGTGTAAGGTGGCAGTCTGACCTTGGGCGGAACGGCATTTGGTGATTCCACAAAGGCATAGTAACCCTCCGGTGGCTGCTCCTCGCCATAGTCTGATGGCGACTGTTGGTGTTGCTGTTGCTGCTGCTGGGGCTGGGCTCGGCCCAACTGGGCCAACAGCAGAAAGCTGAGAATTTTCTAAAAAGACAGAGGAGAAAAGACAAAAGATGGTCACGGTGGTGCTGGCGGAATGTCTCGGATCTGCTGAAGGTCTGTCCGTGCACATGAGTCAGATTAATTGCCCGCATGAATGGCCAGGCATTGTCCGGACACCGGAGAAAGAAGCGATCTCTTTTTGAACCCAGACACTTTTGGTTGTTTTGTTGTTTGGCGAAAGCGCGAAAGTTTCCAAGTTTCTGTTTCTGTTGCCGTTGCTGTGAAGATAAACAAACGCAGCAACTGAAACCAAGTCGCCACTTTTGCATCTCTCTGCTCACTTGACCATTAATTGTTTGTCGGAACTTTCCCTGAAATTCTGGGCGAACGAAAACCCCAACGAAATCAAAAGTACCTCCCCGACGCGCACAGCTATTGAGGTCAAGTGGCGCGGCTTGGTGGGCGGATGCAGTGCAGCCGCCCAGGCTGTGGAATTTCTCTCGTTCTCTCTCTTTCGGGACTCGTGACATGGTTCACAGCGCAATTTAAATACGCCGCCGAATGAAATCCGAAATTGGGTCACTTGGCGGAGCTCGTTCTTTTGTCTTTCCCCACTAATGGGGGCCAAAAAAACAAAAAAGAAAAGAAAAACGTACACAAAACTAGTTTGCCCTGCTCCCAAAACGGAGTGATCCCAATTTGCATAGGTAAATATTGGTAGCCCAATTGCAGATTGAAAACCTGGCCAATGGCTGAGCTGGGAGCTTGCTATTCTTGGCCAGAACAGAACTCGTTGCGTGCCACACACCGCCACGGCTAACGGGAAAGTTGCTTTGCTCGGCACGGGAACGCGCGGAACGTTAGGCTGCTCCACAGTTAGCTTAATTCATTAGCATGCTCCAGAATCGTACGGAATCGGAATCGGGTTCGGGTTCCCAGCCAGCGCTAGTGGATAACGTAACGGTTGTAAAGAGTGGGCCGTGATCGCCAATGTTAGCGCATTGCAAAACAAAAGACTTGGGCAACGAACTTGACTCGACTTGCGAGTGCGTCGGCACTTAGCACACCCGTAATGATGACATACCAGCACCAGGCGATAATCCATCTCCGCTCCTCTCCTCACACACTCAGTACTCGGCACTTCTCTTCTTGGTTCTTCTTCGGGTCTGCAAGCTCTTGGACTTGGCCTTCTTCTGTTCTCCTTTCCGGACCGTTCACAGTGATAGTTAAAGGCGAGCGCAGAGAACCAGACGCGTCAAGTGCAGCAACTGAACTGAGACACCAACCGAATCGCTGCAGACGTTGAACCTCCGCCGAGGTCTGCTTTTTAAGCCCCGGTCAACGGTTCCAGAGCGTGCAGAACGTTGCCGTTGAGAAAGTGGAAAGAAAGTCCAAAGAGAGAGTCAAGCTTGGAGCCGGCTTCCCTGACTCCAAGGCATACTTTCGGGCGGAAATTGATAGAGTTGGAGGGGTGTAAAAATAAAGGAAATTGTCGGAAGTCATCTGTTTCAAATTCATAAACATTTAATTTTACTCAATTTTCTATCAAAATTTTTATATTGTTTAATAAAGTATTTCATGATGAATTGGAATATAAATAACTACTGGAAATCACTGGCTTTTTGGGCAACTAGAGTTAACATACTAGCATTGTCTAAGTCTATATTAAGGGAGATGGTACATGAAAAAAAATTAGAGTTTCAAAAACTCATAACTACGCCAATTCGGAATGCATTCCTATGTTAGTTTCTATCACGTTAATAAATCTGCATACTCAGTTTAACATTTAAAGAGGTTCAATTTTTATCGAATTTTGGCAATTTTAATGATGTAACCCTTATAAAATTTCTAAAATTTGGAAAATTCTGAAAAAAATAGATTTCGACCAGACATAGCTGGATCGACTCTCCTGTTAACGCTGATCAAAAATATATATGATTTATAGGGTCGGAAATGACTCCTTCGCTGCGTAACAAGCTTCGGAAACAAATTAGAATACCACTTTTTTGTCAATATTTATTTATATTATCATACCACAATTTGATCGACCAAAGTTTAAAAATTCATAACTAAGTCAAAAATGCATTAATTTTAATTCGGAAAGCTTTCCTGTATTATATTTTAGAAAGGTAATAAAAGTGCATACTCGGAAATGACTTCTTCGCGGCGTAACAAGCTTCAGAAACAAATTAGAATACCACTTTTTTGTCAATATTTATTTATATAATCATACCACAATTTGATCGACCAAAGCTTAAAAATTCATAGCTAAGCCAAGAATGCATTAATTTTAATTCGGAATGCATTCCTATGTCAGTTTCTATCACGTTAATAAATCTGCATACTCAGTTTAACATTTAAAGAGGTTCAATTTTTATCGAATTTTTGGCAATTTTAATGATGTAACCCCTTATAAAATTTCTAAAATTTGGAAAATTCTGAAAAAAATAGATTTCGACCAGACATAGCTGGATCGACTCTCCTGTTAATGCTGATCAAGAATATATATGATTTATAGGGTCGGAAATGACTCCTTCGCTGCGTAACAAGCTTCGGAAACAAATTAGAATACCACTTTTTTGTCAATATTTATTTATATTATCATACCACAATTTGATCGAGCAAAGTTTAAAAAATTCATAACTAAGCCAAAATGCATTAATTTTAATTCGGAAAGCTTTCCTGTATTATATTTTAGAAAGGTAATAAAATTCTTACTCGGAAATGACTCCTTTGCTGCGTAACTAGCTTCGGAAACAAATTAGAATACCACTTTTTTGTCAATATTTATTTATATTATCATACCACAATTTGATCGAGCAAAGTTTAAAAATTCATAACTAAGCCAAAATGCATTAATTTTAATTCGGAAAGCATTCCTATGTTAGTTTCTATGACGTTAATAAATCTGCATAATCAGTTTAACATTTAAAGAGGTTCAATTTTTTATCGAATTTTTGGCAATTTTAATGATGTAACCCCTTATAAATTTCTAAATTTGGAAAATTCTGAAAAAATAGATTTCGACCAGACATAGCTGGATCGACTCTCCTGTTAATGCTGATCAAGAATATATATGATTTATAGGGTCGGAAATGACTCCTTCGCAGCGTAACAAGCTTCGGACACAAATTAGAATACCACTTTTTTGTCAATATTTATTTATATTATCATACCACAATTTGATCGAGCAAAGTTTAAAAAATTCATAACTAAGCCAAAAATGCATTAATTTTAATTCGGAATGCATTCCTATGTTAGTTTTTATCACGTTAATAAATCTGCATACTCAGTTTAACATTTAAAGAGGTTCAATTTTTATCGAATTTTTGGTAATTTTAATGATGTAACCCCTTATAAAATTTCTAAAATTTGGAAAATTCTGAAAAAAATAGATTTCGACCAGACATAGCTGGATCGACTCTCCTGTTAATGCTGATCAAGAATATATATGATTTATAGGGTCGGAAATGACTCCTTCGCTGCGTAACAAGCTTCGGAAACAAATTAGAATACCACTTTTTGTCAATATTTATTTATATTATCATACCACAATTTGATCGAGCAAAGTTTAAAAAATTCATAACTAAGCCAAAAATGCATTAATTTTAATTCGGAAAGCTTTCCTGTATTATATTTTAGAAAGGTAATAAAACTGCATACTCGGAAATGACTCCTTCGCAGCGTAACAAGCTTCAGAAACAAATTAGAAAACCACTTTTTTGTCAATATTTATTTATATTATCATACCACAATTTGATCGACCGAAGCTTAAAAATTCATAACTAAGCCAAAAATGCATTAATTTTAATTCGGAATACATTAAAATGTTAGTTTCTATCACGTTAATTAATCTGCATACTCAGTTTAACATTTAAAGAGGTTCAATTTTTATCGAATTTTTGGCAATTTTAATGATGTAACCCTTATACAATTTCTAAAATTTGGAAAATTCTGAAAAAATAGATTTCGACCAGACATAGCTGGATCGACTCTCCTGTTAATGCTGATCAAGAATATATATGATTTATAGGGTCGGAAATGACTCCTTCGCTGCGTAACAAGCTTCGGAAACAAATTAGAATACCACTTTTTGTCAATATTTATTTATATTATCATACCACAATTTGATCGAGCAAAGTTTAAAAAATTCATAACTAAGCCAAAATGCATTAATTTTAATTCGGAATGCATTCCTATGTTAGTTTCTATCACGTTAATTAATCTGCATACTCAGTTTAACATTTAAAGAGGTTCAATTTTATCGAATTTTTGGCAATTTTAATGATGTAACCCCTTATAAAATTTCTAAAATTTGGAAAATTCTGAAAAAAATAGATTTCGACCAGACATAGCTGGATCGACTCTCCTGTTAATGCTGATCAAGAATATATATGATTTATAGGGTCGGAAATGACTCCTTCGCTGCGTAACAAGCTTCGGAAACAAATTAGAATACCACTTTTTGTCAATATTTATTTATATTATCATACCACAATTTGATCGAGCAAAGTTTAAAAAATTCATAACTAAGCCAAAAATGCATTAATTTTAATTCGGAATGCATTCCTATGTTAGTTTCTATCACGTTAATTAATCTGCATACTCAGTTTAACATTTAAAGAGGTTCAATTTTTATCGAATTTTTGGCAATTTTAATGATGTAACCCCTTATAAAATTTCTAAAATTTGGAAAATTCTGAAAAAAATAGATTTCGACCAGACATAGCTGGATCGACTCTCCTGTTAATGCTGATCAAGAATATATATGATTTATAGGGTCGGAAATGACTCCTTCGCTGCGTAACAAGCTTCGGAAACAAATTAGAATACCACTTTTTGTCAATATTTATTTATATTATCATACCACAATTTGATCGAGCAAAGTTTAAAAATTCATAACTAAGCCAAAAATGCATTAATTTTAATTCGGAAAGCTTTCCTGTATTATATTTTAGAAAGGTAATAAAAATTCTTACTCGGAAATGACTCCTTTGCTGCGTAACTAGCTTCGGAAACAAATTAGAATACCACTTTTTGTCAATATTTATTTATATTATCATACCACAATTTGATCGAGCAAAGTTTAAAAAATTCATAACTAAGCCAAAAATGCATTAATTTTAATTCGAAATGCATTCCTATGTTAGTTTCTATCACCTTAATAATCTGCATACTCAGTTTAACATTTAAAGAGCTTAAATTTTTATCGAATTTTGGCAATTTTAATGATGTAACCCCTTATAAAATTTCTAAAATTTGGAAAATTCTGGAAAAAATAGATTTCGACCAGACATAGCTGGATCGACTCTCCTGTTAATGCTGATCAAGAATATATATGATTTATAGGGTCGGAAATGACTCCTTCGCTGCGTAACAAGCTTCGGAAACAAATTAGAATACCACTTTTTTGTCAATATTTATTTATATTATCATACCACAATTTGATCGACCAAAGTTTAAAAATTCATAACTAAGCCAAAATGCATTAATTTAATTCGGAAAGCTTTCCTGTATTATATTTTAGAAAGGTAATAAAATTCTTACTCGGAAATGACTCCTTTGCTGCGTAACTAGCTTCGGAAACAAATTAGAATACCACTTTTTTGTCAATATTTATTTATATTATCATACCACAATTTGATCGAGCAAAGTTTAAAAAATTCATAACTAAGCCAAAAATGCATTAATTTAATTCGAAATGCATTCCTATGTTAGTTTCTATCACCTTAATAAATCTGCATACTCAGTTTAACATTTAAAGAGCTTAATTTTTATCGAATTTTGGCAATTTTAATGATGTAACCCCTTATAAATTTCTAAAATTTGGAAAATTCTGGAAAAAATAGATTTCGACCAGACATAGCTGGATCGACTCTCCTGTTAATGCTGATCAAGAATATATATGATTTATAGGGTCGGAAATGACTCCTTCGCTGCGTAACAAGCTTCGGACACAAATTAGAATACCACTTTTTGTCAATATTTATTTATATTAACATACCACAATTTGATCGAGCAAAGTTAAAAAATTCATAACTAAGCCAAAATGCATTAATTTAATTCGGAAAGCTTTCCTGTATTATATTTAGAAAGGTAATAAAA